TAGTTTTTATTTAAATAACCAGTTTGACAATCTCCTTGGATATGCATTTCTTAATGGTGATCTTTGGCAAATTGAGTGTACTTACTTTCATGATTGTCTTAATGTTGATCATTCTGCATTTAAAAGGCTGCTCACTAATGAAACATCTTCTATGCTTTGGCATCGAAGACTTGGGCACATATCAAAAGAGAGAATGATGAGACTGGTGAAAGATGGTACATTGCCAGAGATTAATCCAAATGAACTTGAGACTTGCATAGACTGTTTTAAAGGGAAGACAACTAATTCAACAAACAAATCGAAAGCTACCAGAAGCAATGATCTCTTGGAGATAATACACATAGATGTGTGTGGACCACTTCCAACAAAGACTGTATGTGGCAATTCCTATTTTGTACTCTTCATAGATGATTTTTCAAGATATACTTACCTGTTTTTTATTTCAGAAAAGTCACAAGTACTTAATTGTTTTAAAATTTTCAAACTTGAGGTTGAAAAGCAACTAAACAAACAAATTAAGATTGTGAGATCTGATCGTAGAGGAGAATATTTTGGTAGATACACTGAAGTAGGACAACAAAAGGGTCCTTTCGCATTGTTTTTGTAGCAAGAAGGGATTGTTGGTCAGTACACTACTCCTGGGACTCCTTCCCAAAATGGAGTGGTTGAAAGACGGAATAGAACCTTGAAAGACATGGTCAGGAGCATGTTATCTCTTTCACAGCTACCAGAATTCCTTTGGGGTGAAGCTATCAAAACTGCAAACTACATACTTAATCGAGTCCCAACCAAGGCAGTCAAGTCTACTCCTTTCGAAATTTGGACAGGTAGGAGACCAAGTTATAACCATTTTCACAGTTGGGGTTGCAGATGTGAGGCAAGATTATATAATCCTAATGAAAAGAAACTGGATTTAAAGACTACCAATTGTTTTTTTGTTGGATATGCTGAGAAATCGAAAGGTTACAGGTTTTATTGTCCAGGTTCTTATACCAGATTGGTTGAAAGCAGCAATGCTAAGTTCATTGAAGATTTTGGAGCACCACATTCCCATTCCAAAAATTCATATGTGTTTGAAGAAAGAGATGAGGAAAATTCAATTCCCTTACCTACAGTTAATCATATTACCTTGCCAATTTCATCTGGTGTAGTTTCAAATTTATTTTCTTTGCCACTTACTTCCAATATTGAAGATCAAATGATTTTGAATCAACTAGAAGGGAATTTGCATGCTGCAGAAGTCCTAAATGAGTTACATAATGCTGCAGAAGTTGAAAATGCACAGAATGTAAATGAGGTGATACCAATTGTAAGGAAATCCACAAGAGTAAGAAAACCAGCATTGTCAAATGACTATGTTGCTTATCTGCAAGAAGTGGAGTTTGATGTTGGTGATGATGATAATCCTGTCACATATAAGGAAGCAATGGAAAGTAAAAATGCTTCACTTTGGGATGCTGCAATGAAAGATGAACTGGATTCAATGGCAAAGAATGAAGTCTGGTGTCTAGTTGAAGGATCCAGTGATATTAAACCCATTGGCTGCAAGTGGGTGTTCAAAACAAAACGAGATGCACAAGGACATGTTGAAAGATTCAAAGCTAGACTTGTTGCTAAAGGTTTCACACAAAGAGAAGGTGTTGACTACACTGAAACTTTTTCACCAGTGTCTACAAAAGATTCTTTTAGAGTTATTATGGCATTAACAGCTCATTATTATTTGGAATTGCATCAAATGGATGTCAAGACTGCTTTTCTCAATGGCAGCTTATTGGAAGACATTTATATGAAGCAACCACCAGGATTTCTTGAAAGGGGGAAGGAAAGTATGGTCTGCAAGCTTACCAAGTCTATTTATGGCCTTAAACAAGCTTCTAGGCAATGGTATAAGAAGTTTGATCAGGTTGTCAATTCATTTGGTTTCTCAGAAAATAAGATTGACAATTGCATTTATATGAAACAAGCCAAATCAGACTTTATTTTCATGGTTCTCTATGTTGATGACATACTTCTTGCTAGCTCTAGTGTACAGTTGTTAAAAGAAACAAAACAAATGTTTTCTCAAAGCTTTGATATGAAAGATTTAGGTGTGGCTCATTATGTTTTGGGAATTGAAATCACAAGAGACAGATTGCAGAAGTCTTTGGGTTTGTCTCAGAAGAATTATATTGATCGAGTGCTTAAGAGATTTAACATGGAGAATTGGTGGTGATGTTCTTATAGCTAAAGGAAGGTGACAAGCTTTCACTTGCTTAGTGTCCAGTTACAATCCATGATATTGAACAGATGAAAGAGAAACCATATGCCTCATTGGTGGGGAGTGTTATGTATGCTTAAGTATGTACCAGACCAGACTTGGCATTTGCACTCAGTGTATTGGGAAGGTTTCAATCAAATCCTGGTATTGCTCATTGGAATGCAGGAAAGAAAGTACTCAGATACTTAAAAAGAACCCGAGATCATGTGTTGGTATTTCATCAAGTTAAAGTTTTAGAAGTTGTTGGTTATAGTGATGCAGACTTGGGAGGTTGTGTAGATGATAGAATGTCAACAAGTGGTTATGTGTTCACATTGGCTGGAGGTGCTATTTCATGGAGGAGTAAGAAACAAACCACCAGAGCTGTGTCAACAATGGAATCTGAATATATAGGGTGTTTTGAAGCTATGAGGCAAGCTGGATGGCTAAAGAATTTGATTCATTATATGGGAGTTTTGCACAATATAGAGAAACCGATTAAGATATATTGTGATAACACTTCTGCAGTGTTCTTTGCCAAGAACAATAAGTGATTAGAGGCTTCAAGACTTATGGATATCAAATACTTGAAGCTTCAAGACAAAATCAGAGAAGGAGTTGTGGATATATAACATCTTGGCACATTCCATATGGTTGCAGATCCTTTAACAAAGGCATTACATGTCATTGCCTTTCGCAGACACCTACCTAATATGGGATTGCAATCATCTATGGAAAATATTTGAATGTGGGAGTACGGTAATTTTCTCACAGTTATGACTATGTTTTATGATTTCTTGTACTAAAGTTGTGCTTATTAAGACTATGAACTGAATTGCATGACGATGTGATCAGTTCGTAAAAGCTCATTCTAACAAGAACTATAATGTTTGTCAATCTTGCAGAGATTGAAATAAAGAAGACATCTGCAGTGTCTTGAGTACCAAGAAATGTGGGAGTTATTATGGTATACAAATAAACTCTCATTAAAATTCCCTCATGTTCCAAACTTTCATTTGTACGATCAATTTGTGGTTATGGTACACTGATAATTTATATTTGTATCAAGTTGTCTATGACTCAGTTGATAAACATATAGTTATTTGGAAAGATTTATTGCACTTATCATGACTAAGTGATTGCTCTTTAGCTGTTGAGCATAATATGGATCATAGTTTTGAATACACTTATGTGGGAGAATGTAAGATTTTACAGGGTGAGTGTAATCAAACCTTAGTGTATTTATATATATGCCGACATCAAGATAAGAGATTATATGGCCATATAGATAAATGGAGGGAAAAACATTAAGTTATAATGTTTGAATTAGAGTTGGTTAACAACTCTAAGTAACTGGCAATAACCGAAACCCTAATGGGGGGTAGCAGTTATTGTTTTTCATGTAAATAAAAGAGAGGTTCTTGGTCTCTTTTCTCGGTGTGATTCCAAAAAGAAAACCAGTCCCATTGAAGGTTGTATCGTATCAAACACCAGAGAAGAGAAGGCTAAACCTAATATCCATGCATAATGTCTTCGACAGCAAGTATGTTTTCTTTATTCGATTTAAGGTTTACTGGGGTTGTATATTACTTTATGTTGGTTGTAGTTCAATGGCTTAACTGATTATGTCTTGGCTGTGTAGTATAAGATAAGTTAACACGTGATGAATGGAAATTGCATGATTTTAAGGACTTTGTGGCTCACGGTCATTTTGTCTGTCAATATAGATGATCATAGTTTTTTTGCTATATTGGTGTGGAGTATTAGGACAACATAGCGTGAGAGGATTTTTTTACGGTTAGAAGGCAACAAGCCATGATATTAGAAAGCAGGCGGATGACCTTCTTGAATTTCAGGTGGCAGACCAATACAATGCATCGGGGTAAGAACGTTCTTTGCAGGAGTTGAGATGGCTGCATGCCCATGTGGGGGTATTCAAACTCAAGATGGAGCAATCTTTTTGAAAGGTTTGAATAGAGGTGTTGGGGTTGTTATTCGAGAAGAAGATGGAGCGTTCATGGCAGGTTGCTTGAGACAGATTCATAGTTATTTCGATGCTTTGACAGCAATATAGTTGGCAGCAAAGGAGGGATTGGTATTTGCATATGACGATGGGTTTCATGCTATTATTTTGGAACTCGGCGCTAAAGCGGTTGTGGACTTGATTAATGCAACTGGTGTTCATCTCGCTAAGATGACAGTATTTTAGAGAAAAAGGGTTTTTATCACTTTGAAATTAAAAATTAATTAATGTAGTCCCAGAAAACAGGTGTCACAATTCAATATGGTCATTCCGTCACAATTATATAAAAAATTCATTTAAGTGCTGATATGACACATAAATGGGCCTCACAAGATTTATAGACAAATGGTCCCTGAAATTGACCCACACCATCAATATGGTCAATGAAATTGAAAATCAATCAATGTAGTTCTTGAAAATAAGCGTCGCAAATCAATATGATCATTCCGTCACAATTCTGTAAAAAAATTTGTTATGTGTAGGGATGGACAAAATACCCATGGGTATGGGTAACCGCGGTTACCCGCCCATTTAAAGTTGACAGTTATGGTTATGGATAACCGTTTAAACAAATAAACGGTTATGGGTATAACCGTTTATCCATGAAATTTAAATGGGCAGTTATGTGTATTATCCGCGGTTATAACGGGTATCCAGCGATTATGGGTAATATTTACAGTTATAATGGGAATCCATTTACCCATTTAATTTAATATATGTAAAATTAAAAAAAAAATTAAAAACCCTCAGAGAATAAGTTACAACTCCGTCACTCTCTCTCTCCGCCTCTCGACTTCGACTCGACCACACCTCGGCGACCTCGCTCAGACAACCTCACCACCCTCCTCGACCTCACCTCTGACAACCTCCTCACCTCAGAATCCGGCCACACCCACATCACACAGACCCTCTGATCTCTCTCTCGACTTCGTACCTCTCTCTCTCCGTCACTCTCTCTCTCTGTCGCTCTCTCTCTGTCATGCTCCATAAACAACCCAATTCCACGCCATAAGTCCCACACAAACGAGACTGCCTTTGTGTCCATGAATCGTTGAAGGGATTTTGCTTATCTGAGGTAATTAGTAAGGGGTTTTGTTTCATTTTTTTCCTTCAAATTAACTTAAAATGTGTAGTTCCCTAATTTAACATATTATTAGGGTTTTGTAGTTTTTGTTCAATTTAATCCATTTTTATGAATAATTTGCTAATTATCAGATTTCTCATGCTTTGTTCGATATAAACCCCATTTATTTTTATCTTATTTGTTATTATTTAGTGATTGTTTGGCATCAATTGCATCTGTGCTGCTGTTATAATGGTATTTGGTTACAATTTGAAGAATCAAGTTACCATGGTATGATTTCCTTTACTTCTATAATTTTTGTCTGGCTTAGGCATGTCTCTGTTATGTGTTCTGTTTGAATTTTTTAGAAACTGAAAGCTTGTTTAATTGTATGTTTATCTAAGATGTGCTTTCCATCTCTTCCCATGGAGCGCTAGCCTTTGATAAGGCCCAAGTAACTCTTTCACTGACTTGAGATTAGGTCCTATTAATTTTTCAAGTACTGTAATTTTGCCATATATAATAGTTGTGCTTAATTTGCTCCTATGAATAATTTGTGCCTTTGCTTTCAATGGGGTATGGTGGTTGTGTTTTTGCTGCTTGATGATGATTTTGTTTTAACTTGGTGTCTTAGAAAACTTACAAAAATTTACAAGGATTTGAGTAGGGGTTGAGCCATAAGTAATGTTTATATGAATTTGAGCTCTTAGATTATATAATAACATTCCAAATAATTGGGGTTGCAACTCCAACCCACATTCTCCGCCTCTCTCTCTGAAAATCAAATACAACCTTATCCATGCTTTGTTGTCCTTGCCTTGATGTTAATGAAGAATTCTGAAGTTCTCTAGATGTACAATGGGACCGTTAGTCTTTGTACCCTCAAGTTAATATAGGAAGACCGTTTGGTAACCTTTTTCGTTTCTAGTTTTGATATGTATTTCCTTGTTAGAAAGAGAGGGGAAATATACGGGAGAAAGGGGGAGCGAAGAAGGGGAAAAAAAAGGGTGATGAGAAGCAATTGGAAGAAATGTGTAGAGAGCGCACATAAAATGGGAACTAGAAACGATTTTGAGCTGCTTTTGTTTTCATACATTATCTTTCATTTTCCCTTTACTCCCGTCACCCTTATGTACCAGGAAATACTGTATATTTTCCTCTGTTGCAACTTGCATCTGTCACAAAGTATAACCCAAATAGTATATTGACCTTGGGTTTTATGACAATATAGTGTTCTTTTGTTCAATTGCCTTCCTGTTTTTCTTTTATATTCTGAACTCTATATCTTCATTTTTTTTTCCCGCTTAAACATTTCTTCGTCTTTACTTTCACATGTTAGAACATGTCCTGTATTGATGACAAAGAAAAAGAGTCCAGTTATAACCGGTTCATTTCTTTTGTAGGCCTCTTTTGGTGACAACGAGTCGATGATACTTTGTGATTGAACATGTTCGAAAGTGTTTAGTTTCGGAATATTTTGGAGCTTTGAAATCTAGTATTCAAGATAATGACTACTTTTTGTTTTTAGAAGCTTTGCTTTTTAATCATATGGATTATAATTAAAGACTTGCTTGGATGTAGCAGAAAAATATCTTTCGTAAACTATTATTTCAATTATATGAGGACTTAAATGATTAAAATAGGGAAAGGTATGCTAAAATGTACTTATAACGGTGTTTAATTGTCAGAAAATGAAAATTATGACAAATGTTTCTTTTGTAATTTTCAAATTGTTAAAAAAAATAATGTAGACGGGCGAAAAAAAGGGTAAATGGGTAAAAAAGGATAAACGGGCGAAAAAACGGGTAAACGGGTAAATGGTTATGGTTAAATGGGTACACGTTTATGAGTATGGATAACCGTTTATAAACGGTTATGGTTATGGGTATAACCATTTATGTAATTACTCAACAGGTAAACGGTTATGCGGGTATGAACATAAACGGCTATGGGTAATGGGTAAATAACTGCGGTTACCCACCCGCCATAGCCATTGCCCATCCCTAGTTATGTGCTGATGTGGGTTTAATAATTAATTTAAAAAGTTGTCTAAATACCTTTTTTGCACAATGGAATATTTTTTTTTTCTTATAGTAGGGCCTATTTTGAAGAGAGCTCTCTTCCATAAATTCTCAATGCACAAGGTTTAACCATGGCTTAAGAGGGGGTATGAAAATACATTTCAATCAACAATGAACGCACCTCGGTTATAACCTCATTATCTCAAGGCAGACCTCGTCGTTCTTTGCATCACTAGACCACCAGGGAAGCACTGAACAAGCTTTCCAAGATTAACGTTGTGAGGATGTTGATTGCCTAAATGTTAACGGTGATCTCCAATGGGCCAAGCCATCACCAAATGTGATCTCGATCCAGGTTCAATTCGGTTAAGGGTGTCGAAGTGTGTAAAGATGAGTGTATTGATATTTTATTATTTTTTTTTTCTTTTAGAGAAAAGTGAGTGAAGGAGGTATATAAATGTGGACCGGAATTGGAGGTGATTGCAGGAATGGGTTTTGGGTTACAATTTTTTATTAACTATTAAATTATTAAGCTTATTTGTAATTCTTTAAATTTAATTAGACTTGTAAGACCCATTTATGTGTCACATCAGCACTTAACAAATTTTTTTACAGAATTGTGACAAAATGACTACATTGATTTGAGATACTTACTTGAGAGACTACATTGATCAATTTTCAATATCAAAGACCATTTTGATGTCGCGGGTCAATTTTAAGGACCATTTTGATGTCATAGGTCAATTTCAAGGACTCTTTGTGAGAAGAAAAAAAAAAGACTTATGAGGTCTATTTATGTGTCACCTAAACACTTAATAGATTTTTTAACAGAACTATGACAGAATAACCACATTGATTTGCAACACCTATTTTCAGGGACTACATTAATTGATTTTCAATTTCAGGGACCATCTTGATGGTGAAAATTAATTTTAAGGACCATTTGTGATAAAAATATAGAGGAGAATGATGACTTAAAGAGTAGATTCAATCTTTTTTTTTTTTTTCTTCTATTAGTGGCAACGACACGAAGGCAACATGATGGCTCATGAATTAGTGAAATATGGACTTAGCAATGGAGATCTCGATACATGGATGGAGGAGGAACCACTTTGGTTATCTCCCTTCCTTGAAAGTGATTTAGAGAATGATAATCGATTGTAATGGGTGATGGACATCAAAGCAAACCAATAGTTGTAAGGGGACACAGGTTGTCGTGGAGCAATGGTAAGAAGTGGTAAAGTCTGAGTCAAAATCCCCAAAATCAGAGGATGAAAACCTTGAGAAGTAGCCAGGTTATTTCTTTACAGGATGTAAAATGGTTGGTTACTCTATAATGTTCATTTTTACAAAGATACGTTTAGGGTGGAGAATAAAATGATATCGAACTGGTCATCGAGAAACTCAAATCTAAGATCACACACTTACAAATAGAAAAGAATACCACTGAACTATAGCAGTAATTGGACTTTTCCCCGGCTTTCAGTGATGTCTGAACAAAGTAACAAAGCTAGTTGGTACACAAACGCACATGATCAGATTGACCCCGAGCGCTGCGCTATGCCTTTTAGTACTATCCAAGTTCGAAAAGCAAGGTATTAGTTTACTTCATTCAAGAGTCCAGAGTCCATTTAACCCAAAATTCCAAATGCCTTAGAAAAGTATATCAATAAAAAAGAGAATGACAGGAAGTGTACGGTTGGCGAGGACTGCTATCCAACCCAGTTATTAACATCGCTCCTGTCCAACACAGCAAATCAAAACCATTGCCAACGCAACATGCGCGCATTTCGTTTCTGTAACTAGACAGCTAATTTTATTTGATTCACAATTTGAAGACTTTTTTTACCAACACTAAGGTCAGTCCTCAATACAGCTTAAGCTTTATCTACTGTACTGATTGAAAATGTCTGAAAAAACTACACTAACCAGAATTATATTCAGGTTGACCAAAAACAGAGACTCATATTCAGGCCTTCTTGGTCTTCTTCTTTTTGGAAGATGGGGGAGGAAAGAGCACACGGAAGACCCAACCAGCCAATATTGCTCCTATGAAGGGGCAAATCCAATAAACATAAAACTGCTCCCACGTGTTGTGCCAATTGTTTACATATGCCCAACCAAATGCCTGCAAAGACCACAAGTAATACATTTTGTAAGGGCCTCTAGACATGCTACAGCTTCCATAATTGAACAACTAAACGAACCATCTCATATTTTTTTTCAAAACAAATGACACCGAAGATTAGCAGGAGCAGATCAAGAAAAGAGAGGAATAATTTGTGCCAAAAAAAAAGATAAAAGGTCGTACCCAGTGCACAAGGCTCCCGCTTTACGCAGGGTCTGGGAGAGGTGAATGTCGGCTAGCCTTACCCCCATTTATGGAGAGGCTGCTCCCAAGTCTCGAACCCGAGACCTACCGCTCATGGGCGAAGGCACTTGCCATCGCACCAAGTGCGACCTCAAGGGTTCTTGGTTTCCTAGACTAGCCATTCGCTTCTCATTCATAAATGCAATTCCATCATAAAATGACAACTCACATTCTAAAAACCATTCAATCAGAGAAAGCACCATGGGGGTAAATGCCACTAGTACCAATGCAAAGTAAACTGGTAACTCAACAATGAAAACTGCCTTCTCTTCCCACAAAGGAATAGCAAAAACAATGAACCATCGATCAGTCTATGCTCATTCGGCTTAAGACCAACAAAACTTATAGAATATACCTAAACTATGGAAGGTGTAGATTTGACCAATCCAACTTTCAAGTGGTCAAGATTGTAAGCACATGTATCCTTTTATAAAGAGAACCTATCGTATAAGCAACTGTGTGAATACAACAAATGATCAAAACTTGTATCCCGAGTTGAGTTAGCATTTATGCATAAATGTGCTTGTTTGGGAAGGCCATTAGTATCTGAACTTGTCTAATGTCAAAAAAGAGAGAAAAAAAAATCACATCTCATGGGAATGAAAATAAGACTGGTATTGACCTTCTCATATATCCATAGTGGTACTGTGTATAATCCAAAATTTAATTATGTAGGAGATGACAACAAACCTAACAGTCCTTCAACCAACGCAGTATCCCCAGTATCCCCTTCAATGAGGTCAATAGATAGTGTAGGAAAATAGGCTAGTTAACCTAAACTAAAACTTCATCAGTATGATTTAGGTTGTCTCTTTTGAACCTGCTTACCATATACTTTATCTCAAACTTTTCCAAACTAAGTGCCAACATCTTTCTGTTGATTAAGAAATCATCATTTCTTAACAGTATCATTTCAATCATCTGTCAGTCTGATTTAAGTATTTTCAATGATCAATGATTTTGTTGGACACAACGGCTTCGCTTGCAAATGACCAGGGAAGCAATATAAATTCAAAATTAAGGAGAGGCAAAATCATCATCAGTTGCAAGAGAACTCAAATATATGCCTAACGGGATGTTCTCCTTGGGTTGTGCTTAATGTACAGAAGAGTGGAGTTTTTTAACTCAAGTAAGAACGCAAATTAATACATCTTACTCTCTTCGTCCCAAGAAGAATAGGAGGGAAAAAAGGCATCCCAAGTAGACAATAATAATGCACTCACACTAGACTATTCAATCTGCATTTCATTCATAAACCCCGACTGCACTTGTTTAAACTGTAAACGCCAAGAAACCACTGACATGGTTAAATATTTTGAGAAAATTACATCATTTTGTGCCTTGACTTTTTTTTTTGGTACCCAGAAATCCCCAAATCTGCTTCACCTAGTTGGACTCAAAAAAGGGCCTCCACCAAGCCCTACAACCTTTTGCGACATGACTTTTCAAAATGGGAAAATGGTTTCATATAAAGGAAGGTAGGAAATTATAAAGAATAAGGAAACGTTGCACATTTATTTTAACAACTAAATTTCAATGTTTTCTCAGTTTTGCAAAGACATATTAATATCCTCGGAATTTTGAAACAACTACCACCATGAAGGGAAAGATGTCAAGGATAAAATCAAGGGTTCTCTCTGTCAAACTTATAATGGAAGGTTGGCCATAACGGATTGTGGAAATAGAAATAGAAACAGATATAAATAGTTTTCTAAACTCTATAAGATGTCTAGTATTCGTACTTAATCGATTAGAAGAAAACAAACATGTTCCTATATTTAAGCCTCCATCTTCCTCTCCTCAGAAGTGCAAAAAGCGCGTTGGCTGGAGATTTCTTAGAGAAGAGGGATCGCCAGACAAATGTGGGAAAAAGGAAAGGTGAGGTTCTTAGTCCTCAAAAGGAAAGGTGAGGTTCTTAGTCCTCAAAAGGAAAATTGAGATATGATAACTAAAAGATTTATTAGAAAAAATGGAAGGGCATTATAATGGAAGCCAAAGAGGAACTTCAATGGGGAAATTATGATTCTCACTCAAGACCTCACCTAGTAAATTGGGAAAGGCTCTGGCAACCGGGGTCTATGTTTCTTTTTTCTTCTTTTTCTCTATTTCCTATCACTATCTTCTATATTGTTCTTACTGTACTAGTGTCTATTATCCTGTTTACAGATTGGAAGATATCATTCTCTTATGTCCATGTATCCCATAGATCATATATTGACAACTGCGTTACGATCAAAACATAAAGCCGAGGAGCATAATAGCAATGTCGTGTTCACCAAAGGGACGTAGGGTACTCAATACTACAGTACAAAATATTTCATCACCGTATGCAAGGTTCATTCCTAATAGTAGGAAAATTGCAAGCAAAGAATCAACAAGTAAAAACAATAAATTTTCTTCAAGCATAAGTTCGCATTGTATGATATAAATCTCCAGTACAAGCGGTCAAAAAAAGAAGACACATAGCATAATAGACACATTTGGTAAAAGTGTAATCCTCACTATAATGGTGATCATGTATTAAGTTTAATACGATTCCTACTAGTGCAAGGAAAAGATATGGTATAGGCGGAAAAGAAAGAAGGACATGGTTTACTTACGTTGGCGGGATTCATTGAAGGGCCGGTATACACAGAACCAGTAACAACCAATGCAACAGTAACCACAGCGAGCAGCCACATTTTGAGAAATGAGCTACGAGGACCTTTGAGTATGATTACGAGGACAAGAAAGGAGATGATGAAAGTCAAGACCCCCTCAGCAATAGCGCCGGTATGCAAGTCAACTTTTAAGGAAGGGCCTCCAAGCATGTGCTTGTACTGCTGCGGCATGACCTCATTAATGACCAGTGCTCCACCCACAGCACCCAAAGCCTGTGGAATGGAAAGTGTAGAGTCCAACGTTAAACTTAAGCATACCATTTTGGGTTTCGTTTATACACATATTATGGTTCGGAGTTGGGGCAGGGAAAGAGAGGCATAAAAGTGAATTTCTTTGTTGAAAGAGAGAGTAGATTCTGTTAGTTAAATTGCAACAGCAGAGCAGCCAATTGAAATTGAATATTTTTCATATGAAAAATGGAATGAAAGAATTGAATTGAACACAGATTGAGTAAAGATCGAATAAAGAGAGTAATCAATCAATTGAATTATTATGATTAAGGAACAGGATTGAGGGGTTACATCCTGACCTGGGCAGGAAAGCGGAGGGCCATGGAGAAGAGGTTGTCGGAGCCAAGGCCGGCAGCGTAAAAGGAGGCAGTGCCCGTGGGGTTGAAGCTGGCGCCGCCCAAGGAGTCTCCGATGAAGGTGAAGACGAAGACAAGCAGGAAGACAAGGGAGGTGGTGATGAAGAGAGGGGGCCAGGCGAGGGCTTGAACGCCAACGGCAGTAGCGATAAGGGTCGTGAGTAGGCCAAGCGTGGATGCGCAGGAAATCCACAAGAAGGTCAGCACCGCGTCTCCAGCTGCTGCCTTGATCGCACCCATCTCTCAGAGTCAGACTCTCTCCTTGGTCCAATTGTCTGTTGTGATTATAAGATAGATAGATTAGCAGTAGCAGTCTAGCAGAGCAGAGCAGGTACAATTCTTCTGAGTTGTGCCTTGGTGATTATCTCGTCAAGCAATCAACACATAGAATTCTTCTTACAGCTTCAAGATTTAAGATTCAAGACTCACGACGCACAACACAGCACAGCAGCATTTGCCACTGGAATTAACAACAATAAATTAAAAATAAATAATTGATAATAATGAGTGCCTGGGATGGATGGGCAATCTCTAAAATATTATTATATTATAAGAGAGGGATGTACCTAATCCCAAATCCCGTAATCCGAATCGATTATCAAATTCCAGGAGATGAGATGAGAATTTTGGTGGTGGTGGAGAGGAGATCTTCCTTAGCAGTTTGGAGTTTAGCAGGCAGAGGCAGGAGGCAGAATATGGTTCCAAATCTTTGCACGCTATTCACCACCACGAGACCAGTCACCAACAACAACCCCTCCGTAAACCGTAAGAAATGTTTTTTACTCTCTTTCTCTTCTGTTTTTAATTTCTATTTTATTCATAAAAAACTTCTTCACTTTTTTTTTACGGAAAATATGGATGATTACCATTTTGGGTTGAGATAAAAGTAAAACAAGACCCTTATATTTGGGTCATTATTATGATTATAGTTCTAAAAAATGCTAAGCGCTAGCCGAGCGACAGATTGGAGCCTAGACGTCTAGACAAACTAGACGGATTTTTATTTTTTAAATAAATTTATTATATAATATATAAATAAGTAAATGTTTATATTAAAAATTTAGAAAATATAAAATGAAAATTAAATAAATATTTTTTTTATAAAATTTAAATATTATATAAAGTTATAGAGTGTTATAAATAGACAAAAGTTAAAAAAAATAATATTTGCTAAAGATAGGAGCGAAGCGGGTGCAAAATATTACACTATAACTTTAGTAGCTATAACACAAAGGATGACTAATAAAGAGAGGGAGAGAGATATACTAATATTATTTATTTGATTCTTTCTTTCGCAGTGTGTTTTGATAACACACGGATCACTCTATTTATAGAGCTACTCCCATGAGAATATCAAAAAAATGATATGATGACTACTTTTGACAATATTACATAACAACAAATGTAACGACCTGTCCAAAAAAAATTATGATTTTTATAAGTGAATTTATGAAAATGCCCTTCGAGGAAACGTGTTGACTCTTGTTGACTGCCGTGTTGTGTCACGTAAAATTCATTTTCTTGGCATATCCTTGTAGTACTCGTCGTTATGGACGCGTGAGCGCAAACGGATCGTAATTTGGAGTTATAACGAAGAAGTTATTAACGTTTAAAGTCAGGGGCATTCTAGTAAATTAATTAGTTTCCGGAAAACACCAGATTTTTGTGGAGAAAAATATGGAATGCCACGTGTGTAGCCCAGATTTAAAGAAAGATGGTGATGGGCGGTGGAGATAGAGTATAAAGGAGGGAAATGAGGGAGGAACCGACGAATGAGAAAGAAGAGGAAGAGAGGGTGACCAATCAGAAACAGAAGAAATGAGGGGAAAAGAGAGGGGGAAGAAGGAGGGGAACCCGGACCCCCTTCCTTGACCCGACAACCCGGTTCCTTCATAATTTCTGACACCGATTCCGACGTTTTCCCGGCGATCCAAGGCCAACCCCCACCTGAAATCAATCCTTCTACTGCTCTTCTTCAACTTCCACTCCAAATTCGAGAGTTAACGGCCTCTATTTCGAGAGATATGACACTGATGGCATCGAGGGGTGCACGGACGGAGATTTCCCATTTCTGCATGCTTCGACTCCTACTACCACCACCAAAACCCTTCTCTGGACCTAGGAACAAATCCTAAACCACCTTTGAAGCGGCGGAACACCGGTAACGGCAAATCGACGAACACCTAATTTTAAGGGTTTACGGTGGGTTTTCATGAAATTGAGGTTTTTGCCGGCCAAATTGGCCTTAGTCACATGTATGAAAGTTACTCTATACATTGAGATCTTCATTCTCGTAAAAATTGGTAATTTTTATAAATAGTTGAATTTTCATGTGAGACGGGACGGCCGACTGCCACCTGCGGTAGCGCGTGGCCATCAGACTGACGATGTCGTACAAGTCTTTTTAGATGCCCTGAGTTCATAGTTGATATCCATATGGTGTGAATTGATTTTTGTGAACCTAGTTTCATTATGGTGCATCACTTGATTATTATTTGAAGTGATGATCCGACCGTTGGATTGATACCAAACTTTAATACATTATAGTACGTAATATTTGAGGACATTAGGAACTTATGGATCGAGAATCCGACGCACAGATCTTCCCGAATTGGATTTGTAAGTTCGTAATAAAACGTTGACTGCCACTTGAATTTGCAATTGGTGGAGATCCAACATTTGGATCATAATGAAATTTTAGGATGATGTCTTAGAAGCATAATGTGGATCCTTGGAAGTTACTGATCAGAAATCCGAGGAGCGGATCTTCCGGATCGAGTTACGTAGGGTTGTGGACCCTATCGTCGATCGTTGACAGACAGTTGACTTTTGGTCAATGGGTCTAAAATCATTCTAGAACGCCTTAGGGATGTGTTTTACGTAAGTTATATATTCTATCGATAAGAATTTTGAGATGTGATTTGATAACTATTCTAGGCGCCGATCGTTCGGGACGCCTTGATATTCGTGCTAGGGAGTGATAGCTTGGACTCCAGGTAAGTGGGCTTCTGTTTTCTATATATATGTATAAATGCTTTACAATTTCTAGAAACTGTTTTTAAATGAATTTACGAATTAAATGCCATGTCAAGGATGCATTATATCTTAGTATTTGCTTTAGTATAGTTTTGCATAATATGGAATGATGCTGCGGAGGTTCAGGTAAGCTTTAGGTGAGTACATTATTATGATAGTGGTTGCATTGTGTATGGTTATAAATAGATGCATTTAGAGCTCATTATTCTACACCCTGGTGTTAGTGCTTTGCCTGAGGCCAGAGCCTAGCCTTCACGTGATCGTTCACCTCCCGCACCACACGCTCACCTTGGATTCAAGGAAGGTGCTAGCCTGTCGTACATACCACATTAGGGGGTTCCAACTCGTAGGTGACTTGCAATACTTCGCACAGCCTTCACGTGATCGTAGCACTTGAGCGTATCTATTTACACACAGCCTATCGTACAAACCACATTAGGTGGTTCCGACTTGTGTGCAAGAATTGGTTATGAGCTATAGATTCAGCCATACAGGTCTCGTTAGGTGACTCCGGTCAATATATAATTTTATATTGATTTACATCACCTGGCTTACATATTTATTTTTGAGATACTTGACATGGCACAAATCTTGGTTTCACTTATCTCAAGCCTAGTTTATATATATATATATATATATATATATATATATATATATATTATTTTCTGAAAAATTATACGGGTTTTACGGTGAGGGGTTATTACTTTTGGAAAGGGAAATGGTTTTAAAAAGCTTTGTTTTTTGCCCACTCACGTTTTCTGTTTTTCTCCCCTCTAGGTTTTAATGGCTGAAAGTTCGTATCGACGAGGACTCTTGGCGAATCTCAATCTAGGTGGTTACCTCTGAGGGTATGATCCTTACCCACATCACTGTACTTTACTTATGCTCTGACATCGCGCGTGAAATGGGTTCATTCCCTCTCACAGCGCACTCTAGTCTTTAGGCACTTTTAGGTTCAAATTCATTCACATTTCCACATCACTATACTTTATGGCTTCATCACCTTCCAGGTGTCGGCCAGCACAGCTCGATTCTGAGTACTAGTGGATATTCCGGGTCGGGGTATGTCAACAAATATGTCATCTTCTTTTGGACAAAATGGATCTTTCTTAATGTCCAAAGAACGAACGACCATTGGCGTACTAAGTGGATAAGCCTTGTCCATTCCATATCCTTTCAGGATTTTTTCAATATAGGTTGATTGGTGAACCAAAATTCCACTAGCATAATGCTCAATCTGTAGGTCGAGACAATAATTTGTTTTCCTAAGGTCTTTCATTTCAAATTCACTTTTCAGATATTTAGTAGTTTTATTGAGCTTTTTAGGAGTTCCAACTAGGTTCATATCATTGACATATACTGCCACTATAGCAAATCCAAAATTGGATTTCTTAATGAACACACAAGGGCAAATGACATTGTTGATATATCCTTCTTTGATCAAATACTCATTGAGACGATTATACCATATTCGTCCAAATTGTTTCAGCCCATGTAATGATCGCCTTAATTTGATTGATAGCATGCCTCGTGGTTTGTTAGTTGTTTCAGGCAACTTAAGTCATTCTGGGACTTTTATATATATGTCAATATCTAATTCTCCATATAGATACGCGGTGATGACATCCATAAGTCGCATGTCAAGTTTTTTCTGAAACCACTAAACTTATTAAGTAACGGAACATAATTGCGTCCATTACAGGAGAGTATTCTCCTTATAATCAATTCCAGGCCTTTGTGAACAACCTTGTGCAACGAGTCGTGCTTTATATCTTGCAATCTCGTTTTTCTCATTGCGCTTTCTTGTGAATACCCATTTGTAACCCACGAGATTTACATCAGGCGGGGTTTGGACGATCGGTCCAAAAACACTTCGCCTTTCCAAGGAATTTAATTCTGTCTGGATTGCATCTTTCCATTTAGGCCAATCTTGTCTTTGTTTGCATTCATCAACAGAGCGGGGCTCAATACCATGGCTTAATATGATTTCACTGGCTATTGAGAATGTGAACACGTCGTAGATGATTATTTCATTTCGATCCCACAATTCGTTAGTACATGGATAATTTATGGAGATTTCTTTACTTTCATGCACTTCTGTCTCTTCAGGGATATGTGTCTCATTAAGGACATTGTCCTTTTCAGAATCATGAATTGGGGATTTATCATTCATTTTCTTTTCTTGAATGATTTCATTTGGATTTAGCTGTGCCCTCGTCTTTCTCTTTCGAGGGGTTGAATCTCTTGAACCTGGGGATCTACCACACTTCAGGCGTGCACTTGATGATTAATTTGTTGCCACTTTATTTTTTCCAACAGGAACATCCATTCTTACAGGTGCATTTGCAGCTGGTATATGTGACTTTGTCACTTTTAAAGCATCATTAAATGTATCTGGTATTTGATTAGCAATACTTTGAAGGTGAACGATCATTTTCACTTCATTTTCACGTTGAGTGCTTCGTGGATCAAAATGAGATAAGCTGGGAACAGCCCATGTCAGTTCTTATAGTTCTTTTGGAATAGTCTTTTCTCCCCCTAATGATGAAAGACTGTCTCATCAAAATGACAATCTGCAAAATTAGCTGTAAATATATCACTTGTTAAGGGTTCTAAATATCTAATGATAGATGGTGAATCAAAACCCACATAAGTTCTTAGTCTATGTTGAGGTCCCATTTTAGTGCGTTGTGGCAGTGCAATAGGCATATAAACAGCACAA